CACCTTATATTCATCTTAATCGTCATACTGAATTTTGGTATTACCTCCTTCCGGATCCCCCTCCTTCAACAGAATTCTATCACAGTGACTTGTTTTTTCCTTATTTCTTTATCTTTCATCTTGACTCATTCTCGCTTGAGGTGCTGATTTGAGGTGGAGCGACCTAGACCGTTCATATTTTTATATCTCTTTCTGATGGTCATATGACATCACGAGATACTGCCTTCAGTTCTTTGTCCTTTTTATTGTTGACTTCCATGTTCATATATGAAGTATAGCAGCTTTAAGTTCAAAGCGGTTGTTTGCGCTTATCGGGTCAGTGAGTACTACTGCCGATCTGATTTACTGCGCTGAAACTACGCACTCTTGTGAATAGTATCTCTCTCACATGTTTCATTTCGATGATATCTGTTTGTAGGCACTGAGCTACTACGACCGACACTATTCAAGTGATATTACTTTTTTTTAGGGGAGGAGGATTGAAAGGCCATCCTGTCAACAACCGAAATAACCAATTACATTTTTCTATTTTATGAAAAGCTGTCTTTCCAGCCAAAGATAAAGAAACCTAATTGGCTATTTCAGCAGTAGCCGGAGTGACCTTAAAATTCGCCCCATATTCGGACACAAATTTTTGGGAGCCTTTGATGTATGTGGATTAATGTTGTTATTATTTTTCCTTTGGAATCCTAGTAGAACATAGAGATTCAGTAGCACATCTCCATTCCACTACCCTCTCTGCAGTCTTTTCAACCTGGCACCACGACTGCACACAACGCTTCATTTCTTCCTTACATCACATCCTCCATGTCACCCTCACCACGGACGCCTAACTCGTCCTTTCCCCCTTTCGATTCCACTCGATGGCCTGACCTGGTGCCTGATGACTCCGAATGGTTTTCTCAGTGTATGTCCAGTCCAATCCATATCCATCTCCACCTCCACCTTCTTCTGCATATCTGTTGGGCGATGGGTTCTTGGTTGGTTCGTCGCCAGCCAGCCAGCCAACCAGAGTTCCTTATTGCTTACTATTATTATTCTGGCCATCTGATCTTCAGTAACGAGTCAGCGTAGACTACAGCTATTGATGAATGTCTTTAGTTTGTTGGAAATGCTTCTCGTGACACGCCAAGTTTCTGAACCATCACATAGAAGCACTGACTTGACATGACGTTGGTGTTCAAAATGTGGATCTTGTTCTTTATGCTGCATATCTGACCATTTCACTTTCTATCTTTAACTGAGGATTTGGTGATGTGTACACACGGATGTAAATGAAACAGGTAAAGAGGAGCACAAATACTTCCTTTAGTCTTTTATGCCAGTCATTACTTTTACTTGTCTAAATATTTAATCTTCAATAACTAGTAGAATATAACTTCAGCTTTTTGGGGGAGTGAAGGTTTAGAATTTCTTAAGATATTAAATAATTATTTCAAACACTTGCTTTTCTGAACACGGTAAACATATTTACTGGATGTTTATGGTTCGCGGTTGAAGAGGCTTGGTTAAGGAAGTGTTCTGTATACGAAACCAAGGAAATCAAGCCATGATTTCAAGTTGGTATTCATCGCACACTGACATCAGTTGACGAACCAATAAAAACTTGAGAGTACTAGACAGTTGCCTCGTTCTAGTATAGGAGTCCTCAGCAGAGCGCACTTATGACCCCTACCAGGCTAATCTATTGTGCTTATGTCAAAGAATTGAAGAAAACATCCATCTTGTATGTACTAACTTGTCATGAAAAAGTAAATACCACTTCGCAGTGGATAAGGATTGAATAAACCATTATCTGTCTTTCTTAACAATAGGAAGGGTCAGCAGATAAAACCACTTCATAAATTCAGTAACGGTTGATTTTGGACATTATTGGCTTCCTGTACCACAACTAAAATAGAGAAACTAAGTAATATGAATTAAGATTAATCTCAGTGGTGTAAATCCAGCCATACCAAATATCAAACACCTCTCATAGTTTTGTCTCCTTTTCTCTTCAAATTTGCAGGTTTTTAGGGATTTATTGACATTCATCACAGATTGACATCATTGGAAGAACCACCTGAAACCTGTGAGCACTGAACAGCTGCTTCATTGTAGTACGGAACTCCTCAGCAGTGCACACCGATGGTTGCTCCAGGGATAGAACTCAGGAACTTCAGGTTTCGCGGAGAGCACATTACCCCTGAGTCACTGAGTAGGAATCCAATGGTTCACATTTTCCTACTTCTGTCAGTTCACTATGTAGAGTCACTTCCTTTTCTTTCTGTTGTATAGTATTTTACATTTATCAGTACTACTTTACCTCATCTCTTTTGCTTTACGGCTGGGAACTTCTACCTCAGTGTAACAGCTTGGACCAGTAGATAATTACGCCAAGCCTGTACTTTGTTCAAGTCTGTATATCTCCTCTACTGAGCTGTGTGTGATTGTTATGGCTGATGTCATTACCACCATCCTGATCTTGTCGTTTAAATATTTACTCATCTTATTATTCACCTGAATTTGGGTAGTTCTGTAGCTTAGTAGATAACACTCTAGAATTCGAAGCGACTGGTGCTGGCTTCGAATCCCAGACGGAGTAAAATACTTCAATGAGAAAATAGGAAATGCGCTAACTGTTATTCAAAATCACCATAAAATAAAACACCTTGGCTACAAAAACTTGTCATCAGTAATCATTTAATCTCTACTAAATCCTGTCATAGTATTATTAAATAGAATATCAGACCTGTAAAAGTTGACAATAAATCATTGCTGATAAGATTTAAACCTACAGGTAAATCAGAGTAGCTAAATAAACTCCTCTTTCTTCCACATTCATGCGCGCACACACATACGCACACACAAATACTCTGTATATCCTGCCAACTGGCTGGGTTATCTGTCTCGTCCTTCCGCTTGTCTGCCTCGTCATTCTTTTTTCCACTTTAAATAATGCCATGTGTGAATATTGTCTAACAGTAATAATGCACAGTCAGTGTTATGACCTCGTTCTTCACAAAACATGAAGGAAATAGTCAAAAATTTTGTGCGCATGTACAAGTATGTACCAACTGAAAGTGTTCCTCTTAAGGAGATAAGACCAGTTCAACTTGTTATGCTGGTATCTAGATACCCTTAGAAAACTTCCATCATCATGACGAAAAAGAACGCTGAGACACGGTTAGTTACATACATGAAGATGTTATTTTTCAATGTCTTTTGCTTGTTGGTTATTCTTTGTCTCCACTTATTATGAGGAAAAGAAAACAACGTTGTTTGTTGTCATGTCCTCGTCGCTTATTATTTCGGCAATAGGTCAGCCTGTCCACTCCTGCATGCAGCAACAGGAATAATGGACAAATAAATTACAACCTATTTCACCAAAGTAGTAGCAGTAGTAGTAACACACATTCCAGACACGTGTTTGCCCAAACTAAAGGTCAGTTTTATTATTTGCGCCTGTATCCATGTGTCATTATTAATTCATTAATTAATTTTTCCTTTAAGTTGGTACTCTTCATGGACTGACATCAGTTATAAGAACACTGGAAACCTGGGAGCACTGGATAGCTGTTTCGTCCTAGTATGGGACTCCTCAGCATGACCCCACCACGGATAGGACCCAGGACCTCCAGGTTCAGTGACTAGCACATTACCACTCGGCCGATGGTCCATACTTCCGACATCTGTCAGTTCATAACATGACTAGACCACCACCCAATGTCGTCATCGAGTATTCTTCTCCACATCAACTAGGTTTGCTCTACCGGTCACTACTTCTCATTGGAACTTCAGGAATCACCTTTTCATCAATGAGCACCAGGTGAATTGAAATTAGTGATTTTTCACCTTGAAATCAATCAGTGTATCCCCACAAACCCCCAAATTTAATTCTACCTTTAATCACTAGTAGACTGATATATCCTCTATGATGGTGTATTTATTTCCCATTGCTGTACTCCTTTGCATAGTTAGTTGTCAGTTCTTTTAGCTCTTTGTCTTCTGCTATTAAAGTAATAAACAACAAAACTTAAATTTTATTTATTAATACACCATTCAACTGTAAGTGATTTGCTTTCCTGTTCGAAGTAGTCAGTGTCAGCAGTGAACAAGGTAAATGAAATGACATGCATAGACATTCAGCTGATGAGTCCCAAACAGAACGAAACGTACTACCAAGTAAATAACAACGTAGATGAAATAGCTTTCGATTATTGAGTATATACGATTGGTTGGTTATTAAATTAACTTGTTACTTCTTCTATCAGTCCTCTCATTGGTACCTTTCTTCAAGATATATTCATACGACAGTTTATTATGGGGGAATCAGAGCGAATTAAAAGTAAATCACGCACTTAATATGCATGTTAGATATCGTCCGTTTTACTGTACCGATCTTGACGATAACCCACCGTCATCAAAACTTTGTGGAGTGAAAAATACAGTTAAAGCAGGGTAATGACTGTGGTTTACACACATACACACACCGTCAATTTCTAATCATACGACTGACATTTATGCTTCATTCTGCACTCTGCTCTCAGAAGTTGTTGAACAAAACTTACCCGTTATCAAGTTGGGTTAAGGGGTTTTTAATGAATGCCATCTGAATTAATGAGTGATATTATCTTTCAGGCCCATAAAGTAAACTGAGGACTTGGTACTTCTTGACAATTCTACTCATTATTAAAGTAATAGTCAGAGAATTCCTCTGTATACTCTGTCCTAATGCCTAATTACTTAAATCTGTCGATTTTCTTTTATGGCCACCAATGAGATATTCCGTTTCTTGTGAACCCACTTACCTGTTGACTGACCGCCTTCATAGCATGGGAAACGTTTAATACACACTAATGCAGAAAGTGATCGCCATCTTCAACTACTTGAATGAAAGCTCAGAAATACTCAGAAGACGCACAACTTCCAAGTGCCTAACTAATCTAAAATCTAAACGGCTCTTTCTTCATAGATCAATAAGTTTTGACTGTAACTCAATCAGAATATTAATATATGTAGAGGAGATTAATACTGATAAATTTTATTGATTCGTTGAATAAATAAGTAGATATAACAAATCACTGAGACTATTTACAGATATGTAAACCTAAGCAATAAACCAAGAAATATAATGTACATAATTCTTCTGATGTTCGTTGTCTTTCTTTCGTCTTCAGTCTCTATACTCTTACAAAAACTATAGGACAGGTGTAGGGGGAGAGAAAGGGAGACAATGAACGGAAGGGGACTAAGAGGAAATATACAGATTTAACGTCCCACTACCTTTCTCCCTCCCTCTGTTGTGTTGAGTCTTGTAAAATAAGTATATAAATAGTAATATTAGTTGATTACATTGTGCTGTTGCCTCCCAAGGGATTGGCGAAATTGGAGGTAAGCGATTGGCAGAACAAATCATACGGGGGAAGGCAACAATAAGACAAGTGAAAAAAAAACAAAGGAAAACAAAAACATAACAAATTAGGAAGATTAATAAACCAGCATTTAGTATAGGTGTATGCCAGTAACCGTTCTGGTGACAGGAAACAAAACATATCATTGAATATTTATAGAAGGGAAGATGATAATCACACTATCAGTGATGCTGGTGTAGACAAAGAGCATTATTTTGATATGTACAACACAGATGGGTGCATGGGGTGGGAGGATATTCTTTTCGCCTCATAGATATATCATTCGATTCTCTGATTTCGATATCTTTCCTACTGAATTTGTATAGATTGCAGATACAGGCGAACGGACCATATTATTTACACCTTGACTACGTAGGACTGTATGCGTAGGTGTTCGACGCACACGGAAGTCAATTGTTGGACCATGTAAAGCCTAAAAAAATATACAAAAAGATTAGAATAGTTGATATAATAACAAATATACAATAAGCATTTATGCCTGGTTAATTAGTTCACCAGTTACTAGCCGGTCCTAAGCCCGGGTGAAGAGGGAAGGTTCAGCATAGGGCAAGCAACCATACCCCAGAAAACCAATCCAATCGCTAAAGAAACTTCAAGACACACAAACGAAATGTAAAAAATAAAACAAACTAATTCCTTGCTGGAATCGGAGAGACCAAATGACGCCGGTTGATGAAAGCCTGCCTTCGGGAAGCCAATTGGCCAATCTATCTACTCTCCCATCGATGAAAACGAAAGTAAGGATGGGGACATTGAATGTCCACACAATGCTTCAACCTACCAAGGCTGCCCAGATTGCCAAAGAGAAGAGAAGGTATGGCATGGAAGTGCTAGGAATCTGTGAAAGTAGATGGAATGGAAGTGGACTCTGCAAACTGTCAACTACAGAGTCAATAATCTACTCCGATATTGTCATCCAGACGACAAGCACCAGCACACTGAGTTTTGGAGTGGCTATCAGCATATTCCCAACAGAAACAAAGGCTCTCTCACATGTAGTGGGAGCCAATCTCCCCCTGCAGGATCAGGATCATAGCAGCAAGGTTCAACTCAAAAGGAAGGAAAGTCACAATCATACAATGCTACACTATGCGCCCACAAATAATGCAGACACGAAACAAGAGAAGAAGGAGGAATTCTACACACAACTGCAATCAGTGCTGGACAAGACCCCACCCCAGACGGCGACATCAAAATTCTAATTGGTGATATGAATCCCAAACAAACTGGGAGCAGACAACACAGGAAGAGAACTCATCATGGGTAGAGAAGCACTCGGTGAAGTGGATGAGAACGGAGAACTGTCTACAGATTTCTACACATTCAACGATTTCATGGTTGGAGGCATGGAAGTGTCTACAAACACAAGGATATTCACAAAGCGACATAGACTTCACCAAACAACAGGACACACTACACTAAAACTCACATCAACTTCATCGCAATGTGAAGAAAGTGGAGATGGAGACACAGCCTACTGGACACAAGATCAGATGAAGAAGGGGAGCAGATGTAGGTGTACACACCACTCACTATCTAGTGCAACTAACCTACCTTCAAAATCAAGTTGGAAGCCTTCACAGAAGTTGGTGATAGACCACAGTTGAAGTTCAACACTCAGAACAGAAACTGAACTGGAAGACAAAACTACAAAGGACATCTTCACATCAGCCAGTCATCAGGACAAAATGGGAGATATTAGGCAACATCCTTGAGGAAACCTGAGTGGAAGAACACTGGAACTGTGTGAACTCTGTGTGTGTGTGTGTGTGTGTGTGTGTGTGTGTGTGTGTGGAAGTACACCTGCACAACCGTATTAGGAAGGAAGAAGAGGTGAGACAATGAATGGATCCCGATGGATACATGGCAGCTGATAGAGCAGGGAGAGGAAGATGGTAATGGTGAGGCAGAAGATGAACCAGTATGGTACAGGGTGGAACAGCGAAATGAGGAACTGAGTACAACGTATAAAATACTACAGTGGACAAAGAAGTGAAGAAGAGTGTGCGCAAAGACAGAAGACACTTCTACAACACAATGGCAAGTGGAACATAACGGGGTGCAGGTAGGAGAGACTTGACAACACCATATCAAACAACCAGGTCACTGTCCAGGAAGAGATCAAAGCAGAAGAAACCACTGGAAGATGGTGAAGGAAAGTTGGTGACCAAAGAGGAGAAACGAAGGAAACTCTGGGCTGACCACTTCAATAAACTGAGTTGACTACCACCTATAACTCGTTCAGAAATACCACCAGCATCCCACCCATACAATTACCAGTGAACACAGGCCCTCCGACAAAAGCAGAAGTCCTAAACACCATAAAGTTACTGAAATTCGGCAAAGTAGCAGGACCAGATGGAATTCCTTAAAATGCACTGAAAACAGATGCAGAGACAAGAGCGGACATGCTCACACGAATATTGCAGAAGTTTTGGAAGGAGGGAAGGAAAGGTACCTGCTTGTTGATTGAAAGAAGGACTAACTGGTCAAACTTGCAAAGAATGTAAACGTAAGTCTGGAAGAACTGGCGAGAAATCGTGCTGCTGTCCTTGTCCCCTCCAAGCAACATACTAAGCCACATCATCATGGAGAGACTAAAGGATGCGCTGGATTCATAACATAGACTTGATGCATTGGACTGAACATACACTGAGAAAACCATTCGGAGGCATCACGCACAAAGCCGAGCCGTCGAGTGGAACCCTCATAGGACACGACGAGTTGAGCGTCCGTGGTGAGGACGACATGGAGGAGATGATGCGAGGAAGATATTAGAGATTGTGGGCAGTCGTGGTGCCAGGTTGAAAAGACTGCAGAGAGGGTAGTGGAATGGAGATATGCTACTGAATCCCTATGTTCTACTAGGAACCCAAGGGTTTAATAATAATGACATAATAATATATGCATAACTTAATAAGTGGGAGATTTCTGAAGAAAGTTAACGGTTTGATAAAACTCTGATGAGCTATTCCCGAAAAGTCACTAGATACTGTTATTTGTATTCATTACCAGCGTTTCATTGCAATCATGTATATTCAAATAACTATAACACAGTGATTGAGAAGTGCCAGACGATGGAGGACGCTTTGAGAGTTAAATACTTAAATCAATGCGTTTTTCCATAACAATGTATCTTCATTTAGGTTTGAACAGCTATAAAACACGTTGTGTATACTTTAAAAATCTCAGTCATACACTCTTCCATGTTCATCAGATGAACGGATAGACAACAAACAACACTTCACAGTGTAAATCACTGAATGCTTATTGCGTTCACTAGCATGAGTGAACATAAAATAGATGATTGTTTACCAACATGTATTTCGCGTATTTTTCAAAATACTGACTAACCCTCAGCCGATAAAGTAGACAGAAATCAAGTGTTTCTTTCTTTATTGATTCCTGTTATATGTTTGAATAGCTCTGTATAGTGGTGTCCGAGTGTTTAGTTCACACAGAGATACGGAAAACACCCAACTACTAACAACACTAAATACAAACATGCGACGCATTGTTCTACGTCACCGATCACTAAACACTGAGACAAATGGTTTGAATTCCGCTCCATCGACTTTCTTCCGAACACGTTATCTGTGACGTACAGTCTTTTATCAAATCTCTGATGTGCAATGTGAGTTAACAATATTAATATATAGAAGTTATTGAGCTGTAGTTAGTTTGGAATCAAGAAAATTCACTCACATTTTTAACAACTGGTGTGACACAATCCTTTGAATGACTACTACCGGGTGAATTAGTTCTTGGCCGTTTAGCTAGGAAGGCAGCTGTTAAATTTAGCTAGATGGAAACAAAAATGAATAAAGAGAAAAACTGTTTTAAAAAAATAGTCGTGAAAACCAATGAAATTTCATCAGTTGTAAAAGCTTTTCTACTATGCTACATTACATCACCGCCTAATTTAATGATAGACTCGTAATACTACTGTGACTACACAAAGAAGATCCCTTAGTCACATAAAACAAAAAGTGGAATGGGCAGGAAAAAGTGGTGTAAGCTAAACAATGTTGGAGGTCAGCTGACAGGATACTCTAGACTTAGGTTTCTACCTTGTTTATCAGTTATAAACAGGGTTCATCAACAACTTTTTGATTTTAATGATGGATAGTGGCTGGCAGTGGAATCCAGGACGTGTGTTTCGTCCTATTTCGGAATCATCAGCTGGATACACCTGCCTCCTAGTGAGTGATTTTCTTCCCACCGATCACTTCAAACACCAGAGCGTTATCCACTAGGCCACTCAGTCACGATACTCACTCCGCCGTGCATCAACAACTTTGAAGAAGTCTTTATATTCTCTCGAAGGTCCGAGTAAGTATTTACTCAATGCTGAAGTAAGGTCAATTGCTTTAAGTGTTTAGCACTCATCTATATTATTCAATCTCAAACAATTGTTTCCAGTCTTTCAGGAGTATATCTCACAAATATTAATACTCTGAAAACATTTATTCCACGTAATCGAACTCTTATTCGATAAAGGAAGAGATAAAATGATTTCGGTAGCTGCGCTCTATTATAATACTTGCCATCATCACTAAGTACTTCTGAAGCTTATGACCGACAAAGTTAACAGTAAATGTGTTCATCTCTTCAATAAGGCTATATGACACGTATAAGCACTGGCTGGTGAGAAAGGCTGCTTTAGAAACATTCCTTTTAATAATAGATTATTCAGGTATTTGAAGGAGTCAAAAGTTCTTTTTCTAATCGATATGTATAAAAACAATCTTAATTCAGTAAAAATTAATGGCAAGCAAAAAAATGATATTGACTATTGATTGGCTTACCCTGGGACCGTTTGACTTTGTACTAGTTGTAGAAGTATCTGATTTGGATAAGGATGATTCATTTGGTTTCTTGCCTTGTGAACGTGGACTTGGCGTCATAGTAACACAGTATTTAAGACTACAACATAACGGAGGACTATCTGATGTCTAGATAGATGAATGAATGAGAGGGGAAGATAGAAAAGAAGTAAACTGATACGATTAGGCAATGACATTAGACATGAATGATAATTAAAATTAATACAAACTTATAGACAATGTAGACAGATATAAACAATACAATCTTCATGTTGATAACATTTATCGGGACGAAGAAGATAATACCCCCGCCAGCAACAACAACAACAACAACAACAAGAATAAGAGAGTGAAATATCCTGTTGTTCTTCCCCTGAAATAGCTCTCTTTCTTCTTTTTTCGTCTTGTCTTTTTCATTCATTCATCCACCCATCGGATGATTAATTTCGCTCGATATCACAAGATGATATGCTTAATTGCGCATACATTTTCAGTGAACAATTTAAAAGAGATATAATTAACATTGAACAGCCGAATGTTGGGTAAAAGTTCCACGTGAATACATGTCATGGTCCTGTACAACAGATGTAATTGCATACATTCACACACACGCATACACGAGTAACAATAAGAATGGTGAAAACACAAATGAAGAGGAAATAAAGGTCATATATCCTACTTCTACTGCTATGATTGATCAACATACTCGAGATAGGTATACATGTATATATTATCCTTCAGAGGATAACAGGAATTCAGTAGTGGATGACATGAGTAAAGCAAAGGACACTGTTTTTAACGTAGTGAATAGCTGACAGATGGAGGTTCAATGCCCGAATAGATTTTAGACAGCTTATTTACGTTGATTCTGTCTCTACTTCGTTATGGTACTTTGATGTATTCAAACAATCTTACGCGCGCACACACACACACACACACTTCAGACAAGTAAATTTGCTGTAGCTAAACACTAATCAACATCATCATATGGGAGCTTTCACTTGACTGAATACTAATCAGTAAAAGAGAGGTATGTTTGTGTGTGGACCACAATTCCAACACTTAATCAGGTAAAGTACAAAACTCTAAAGCTCAAGAAAGGATAAAATAGATGTGAATATGAAACTGAAATGTATAGAAGTATATAACAATTCAAAAATATGTGAAACTCATACGACGGTTATTTGGTGGAATTCTAAGTATAACAATTGTTGATAAATTCGTTTCATTCATTCCTTAAGATTCGATTGACCTTTTAGAATGTTTACCGATAAATGTTCGGTGGAACAGACTTTTAACAATATTTATAGCTAAGAGCATAGATGTACTACTGAACCAATTTACCCATGGATTTCTCTTCAATTGAGATAACTGGTTAGTGATATTACACTCTACCTCTGAGTAGGATAATATGAAAGACGCAAAAGTAAGGATATTCCTTCATCAATCCCTTTTAGATTATCATCAGCGAAGATTAATTTGTTCACAAAACAACCTGAACATTGGTTCTTCGACACTCCATTCAACGATAAGTATACCATTTCAATGATACTCATGAGTCAATAACTAAAGGCGCTTTGCTAATTTCATATTATCATGATAATATCAAAGATGTGACTTGTAAGGAACTGACACTTTTTGAAGAAGTGTCGAAAAATAGAAAGCACAAAATAACTATTTTGTTGAGGGAGATGGAGGGGGGGGGAAAGGACGTATTCGAAATACATCTCACTGATGCATTTAACACTAATGATTCTATAGCTCATTTGTCATCATGATTAAATCTGATGGTTTTGTGTTCGTGAAACATAAATTATTCCTTTCTAGCTTCAATTGTGTGAAATTTCGCTCTTTATTTTACAATAGTTGAAATGTTGATCCAACTTAGAATAGGTATTTCTTACTCAGAATTTAGTTAACTATACACATTAAAACAGGAGTAGGCAAGGCTGCCTTTTATCACCCATGGTCTCCCTGATTGTGGTCGACTTGATCATGCAGCAAACTGTGAGGACCGAGAAGATGGGCATACGCTGGACCGATAAAAACAGCCTAGAAGATTTGGATTTCATTGATGATTTGTATCTAACATCCCACAAACTCGAAAATCTGCAGGCAAAACTAACAAGTTAACAGAAGAGGCAGTGAAGTGAACGCAGAGAAGACACAGGTGATGAAGATACCCAACCAACAACAGCAACTACAACAAGCTCCAATCATCATGAACAGCAGTAATCTTAGGGAAGTAGTCTCTTCCACCTACCCACCTACCTGTCTCAGCAGCATTGTTTCAACTACAGGTGGCACACGCACAGATGACGATGTCAAAACCACGATCGGAAAAGCAAGACAGGCATTCGTTAGTCTGAAATCAGTGTGATCTTCTCCACTCAACACTCAGCACTCAGCAAAAAGCCTGAACACGATCCACATTTTGAACATCAACGTCATGTCAAGTCAGTGCTTCTATGTGATGGTTCAGAAACTTGGCGTGTCACGAGAAGCATTTCCAACAAACTATAGACATTCATCAACAGCTGTAGTCTACGCTGACTCGGTACTGAAGATCAGATGGCCAGAATAATAAGAGTAAACAATAAGGAACTCTGGTTGGCTGGCTGGCTGGCGACGAACCAACCAAGAACCCATCGCCCAACAGATATGCAGAAGAAGGAGGAAGTGGAGATGGATTGGGCATACATTGAGAAGGCTGACTGGGGACATCACGTGCCATGCCCTACCGTCGAGTGGAATCGAAAGGGGGAAAGGACGAGTTAGGCGTCCGTGGTGAGGGTGACATGGAGGATGTGATGTGAGGAAGAAATAAGAGGTCGTGCGCAGTCGTGCAGTCAGGTTGAAAAGACTGCACAGAGGGTAGTGGAATGGAGATGTGCTACTGAATCTCTATATTCTACTAGGAACCCAAGGGTCAAATAATAATAATAATAATACATATTAAAAGGAAAGGGATAAAAACGCATTAAATTCGAAAAATATTTGAAGGTTTGAAGTATAAACATGTATTTAGACATTTTAAACAGTTTTATAAAAAATGAAAGGTCACTTAGCAAACATCTTACGAGACATTACTATTATCATTATGATATAGGACGTATGGTTGCTTCTTCACAATAGGAGCCTTCATCATATAGTACCCTCTCTCTCTCTCTCTCCCACACACACACACACACATACACACACACATACACGCACAAATGCATTGTTTATTGTGTTATTCAAAAATTTAGCCATCTATTCCATATGTCCGGTTTATTTATTTCAATAAATGAACATAAAACAATCAAATATTCATGGTAAATGGCGAATTTATCTATAATTCCCATATTGGCTAGCTAATTGATTGATCGATTGATTTGTGAAGATATTGACTTATTATTATTATTTTGTGGCCAGATGTATAACTCTAAAGACTGATATTATTATCGACATACAAATAAAGACTTAGTATTATAAAATATTATAAAAATTTGAGAACACTACACATGTATAGACTGTCATGATGTTCTTCAGTGTGACAAAACATTTCTGTGTACTTTATTGGTATCTTCTCATCTTCTATTAACACATAGCCATACATCTAAAAACAGTGTAAAACCATCTGTTTTGACATTATTTATCATTTATGCAATTCATATTTGCTACAAATATGAACTAATTTCATTTATCTTCTTATTTACCAAGTTAGATCCAAGAAGAAGATCGGTTATTTGTTGATTCACGTGTATATACATGTACACATGTAGAAAACGGCGCCTTATTTTCTTCAAAACAGAGTGGATGTTTATCAATTTCTTGTTCACTCCTGATTTATAGATGTATGTATACGTGGTCTCAAATTTATGAGAGAGAAGTAGGCAATGTGTTGTATTGGTGTGTGTATGTGTGTGTGAAAAAAAACCACATACCTACTTTTTATTAGCATTTTCTGACAGCAATGACCGCAGGCTTGTACAAGTGATGTAAAAGCACATAAGAACGTAATACTGGATCTAGAATAAAGACTAATTTGTTTGAATTGTAAGCGTAAGTTAACTGGGTTCGATGCAAAACCTGATCATCAGATTTTTAAGCTGAGATGTGAAAAGTAAGCATTGATGAAAAATAACTTCAAAACCGAGATAAACAGTTCAAGTCAATGTTCATGAATTTATTTATCCCTCTCTTACCCCTACCCCCACTCCCGAAGATAACGAAAACAGAAAACAATCAATAAAAGTACAATAGCTTACCTGATGTGCAATCAAATTTTTGCTACAATCATGTATAAATAGAACAGGAATTTGAAATAATTTGGCTACAGATGCATTCAATTTCAATTCATCTCGTGCTAGTCGTACACACAAATCGAGTACACGTATTGGTAGGGGATTAGCTAATGCAATTGGTGTAGTTGTTGAACGATCCAAGAAGAAGATCGGTGAAAATAATACAGCTAAACTTGCTTCATCTACTTCACAGTCTGGTTCATTTGCCACATTAGCCATTAATTCAAACAACGGCTTAATAATCTGATTAACTAAACGTATTGGACACAGAAGAAAGAGTAGGCGGATAGCACGACGTTGGTGTACTTCATTCTCTTTGACACCACTAATCAACTGAATGAATAAACGACGTAATGGATTAGGGATTAAGCCTATTCCTTGTCTACGCAGAACACGAGCCAACAAGCAAGCGATTACAGAAGGATCATGTTCTAATAGGATCTTGTCAATGTCATTCAGTTCCGTTGAATAACTACCGTCAAGTTGATTTGAGTTAACTTTTGCAAATGACGTAGAAGACATTGTCGAAGATGTGGAGGCTGAGGATGACAACAAAGTAAACGACGCAGAGGAAGTGGAAGAGGGCCTTTGATGGAATAAAGCTTTTTCTAAATCATTTACGTTGGACTGATTCCCAGGACGTCGGAATATAAATCGATGTTTGTCTGAATGAAATAAAATGAAGATAGAATGAAAACTTCATATAACATATGATAACCTTGAAGATAATCACTGTGTTATACTGTACCTCAGTAACCACCTACTGGTTCATGCGCTTGATAGTCAGTCATTTCTTCTATGCAAGAGATAATGATGCTATCTGGTTAAGTAGGGCAGGTTTCAATCCTGCTGTCTGTATCGGAAACCCATTCCTCTGACCAATAACTAAGCTTCAAAAATTAAGATCCAACCACAATGCTATAGTTCGGATACTGTTCGGTATTGTTTGGCTTTGATTACAAAATACGTCAACACATACATACGCACGCAAACTAGCATTTCATTAGTTAAACTACTGTACAATAACCATACAGAACTTTGTCCATTACCGATGCGATTATTTTCCCCAAAACCACCGTATCACAATAAGAATCATCAGTACACTGGAATGATTTAATATGAAATTTGCTGGGTTGAACAACATCCATGCATACAATACACTTAAAGGTTTTCACCTATAACAAACAATGTATTGATTCTTTTCGAAAAAATATACCACCCTATAGACCTAACTAGGTTATAAACACCCCTGTATAACTTTTTAAAAGTATCACATACACACAGAGTCTCACGGAGATTAAAGCAAAACTCTTCATGATGTTAGCAATGGGGGTGGTTCTAATACACACAAAAATCGATAATAAACTTACAGCGTTTGTTGGAAAGCAAGAATCGAAGAACGGTATTGACAACCATATACCAATGGTCAATTTCATTGTCTTTCGAGGCTAAAAAAAATGAAAATTAGTAAGAAACAGTCACAAGAGAAAGTGTATGGAGCATAAATTCTAGGGAAAACATACTTTACATCTCATTTCAGTCATATAGTGAAACACCTCGAGTAGTCCGGCAGTCAGACTGATAGTAGAAGAACAGAAATGGTGAATCCTCATCGAAACTGTGTATTTTCATATAACTAGAGTTCGGAACAGCCTCATAAATAAGATCAGCTCAATCCCACACCAACTGGTGTCATGTGTCAAAGTAGACAATGCGTTAATCTGCATAGTATATTTTTCATGTGAGAAAACATCTGTTAATGTCAGTAATCACATCGATTGTCACAACTAGTAAAACTATAATCTCCATTTTTAAGAGTATTAGGCAATGCCAATCTAGGTTACCATACTGGATTAACTGGCAGACAAACTACTCATTTCTATTCAGTAGTTTGTCTAACATAATGAGAGAAAACTGATTTCTTTTTCCATAATAGTAGACAGTATGAACATATCATTGATCACAGATATCTGTAGGTGGTAGAAGGTCAAGTTAAAAACAATACATAATACGTCTGACCTATCTGAATACTTCTTATTGAGAGAAAGAATGCTAACACATCCTACATTTTGAAGTGTACATAGCGAAATATCTTCCTAATAGTTGAAACTTACCATTCTGTTTTTGTTCTCGCAATCGGTTCAGCATTTTTCTTGGTGTGTACTGTGTTTTAACTCCACTTGCATTGCTTGTGGCATTAGTGCTGCCAACATCTATTTTATCATTATTGACATTTGTACTATATGACGTAATCAATCCATACGTGGATGTCAGTGGTGCCGTTGCTGTCGATGAAGTTTGATAGTATTGACTGTTTGACTGTTTAGCATCTTTGATTAACAGCTCACGGATTTGATCTAATTCATCTGAAGTGAATACTAGAAAGCCTAAGTAATTAGTAACCAAGGCTAGAAACGATGATGGCCAACGCCTGCGAAACTCGTACATATCATGACTCGGTTCAGCGATTAAAATGTCCAGTTGAGACGAATAGGAAATATCTGAATTGGTTAGCACAGAAGATGGAGAAAACGGAATATCGTGCATTGATTCATTGGCAATATCATTTTGACGTCCAATTGATAGGGTTGTACGTGATGTGACCAACGGAGCAGATACTGGCAGAACCTGATATTTTATATGGTAAAAAAGTAAATAGGGTGAATATTCTAGTTTTACATAAGTGTATCATTTGTAGCAGAATAAAACCATTTTGCATGAATGGACTATTACACCAATAAAAAGTAACATTCAAAGGTTACATGCCTTTGTAGGTGCTCATGGTTGACTCGCTTAAAGAGGTGATTCCCAAAGTTCCAATGAGAAGTCATGACTGCTAGGGCCAACCAAGTGGAACATCAGGATAGTTACTCAGCGATCCCACTGGATGGAGGTCAAGCTATATCGTGAACTGACAGAAGTAGAAAATATGGACCATCGGGTCCCCACTCAATGGTTCAATGGTAACGTTCTGGCCGTAGGACCAGACCGTCCTAGGTTCGACCCCTGGTAGAGTTATAAGTGTGCACTACTGAGGAGTCCCAAACTAAAACGAAGAAGCTATCCAGTACTCTCAGGTTCACAACATCTCTGCATCAGATGTCAGTCCATGATCAATACCAACCCGAATTCAGTAAATTTGATGGCTGGATGGTATGACCTATAAACTGCTCTCCCTGACTACGTTGAACTCCGATTCCTTGCATCACTCCTAACCTAATGGACAAACTATTTCAATATGGCATTGTAACATGAATACAATGCGATCTAAAATCTCATATCATCTCCAATTTTTATAACCTTTACGCTGGAGGAAATTATACGTTTGTAACCCTTCGAGGCTTGAAATAAACAGTTGTCCTCACTGATTTTCCCTAATTCCCTTGATGACGTTTTTTTAGTATAGAAAATCAATGAATCAACAATGCCCTGTGAACTAACTAATTGTTCATTATCTAGTTTAAACTTCGTTAAATACTGTTTCTCCCTCCCTACTTCCCCTCTTCTTTCTAAACTTTAAACTTTCATCATAATGAAGTACAACTCATCAACTAGAACATTTTATGAAAATTAGTTATCATGAATAATCTAAAAGACAAGTGTATATTGTTACACAGGCAAACATTGACATACATACATACACAAGTTCATGAATGTGAGGGTGAAACAATATGCACATTTAAAAAACGAAACATCACTGATTACTATGACTACTTTTTTGATCTAAAAAGAAACCTGATAAAAAACAAAAGAAAACTACTTACACAATTGTCTACGTGGTGGATATATATGTCAAAATATCTCAGATAATATCAGGAATCTATGTATCTGTGTGTGTGACTTCATGTGCACACGTGTGCACCAGCACTAAGCACAATCATAAAAAAATCAATCAGCTAACTACAATGATAAAGTAGAACATGCTCTCTGAATAGACAATATTTAGATTGATTGATAGAGATGGACTCAAGCTGACCTAATCTTGTCATCTATGATAAACAGGTGAGAATGAATGAGTCAGTGAGTGAAATGGTTGACTGTCTGATAGATAGAATACAATTACTACTTATCTACAATAAGCGAAGGGTACTGGATTCCAGCCTCAGTGAGAACAATATCACTCACTGGGGTGCAAGCGCATCCAGTTGATGGGTTGATGATGCGCGTCCTGAATTCCTCTGCTAGTCACTAAGGTCAATATATTTATATCGAAGTTTGTATGTTTTTTTATACAAATTACGCGATCATGTAAGTGTTCGGTGGAAATAACTACACGCTGGATCATGAAAAGCAGTAACATAGAAAACTTGATTTCCGAATTATAATTAATGAAGCTTTCTCAATGATGTTTACCGTAACCTACGATATCGGTCAATATTGCATTCATGGTGGTGTTAATCATCACCACTATACTTACGTGATATGGGGGACACCTACAGGACATGAAAGCATGCGCTCGCCTACTGATAAAATCATACAAATGATTAGCAATGAACTCTGGGTATATAATGGCATTCAAGATACCCCCAAACTTCAAATCAATATTTAACCATTTCGATCGACTAATGAGTCAAATAGGAAATGCTTCTCTAAAATAAACATGAATTGTAAAGTATTGTGGAAACAATCTTTCACCTCAAGGCAATTGACTACACTTTTAGAAAATCAATATCATCGATCCACAATCGCATACTTATCAAATTCACCCTTTCATTTATGTATCCTACTCAGAAAGAAATATCATTTTCCAGGCCAATCAGAATAAAACACTCATTGAACGTTATTATGTATTAGTTACCTCAACAATTTTAGTTGCTGAGTTACAATTGTCAACATTTCCACTAAGGATTAACCGATTTTTCATCGATGTCAATGTCTGGAATGAGTTCAATGAACATCTGATCTACTCTCTGTCTCTATCTAGTTAATGTTGACTGTTAATTATGTAAATTATCATTCGCTTCATTAATTGAATAATCAGTCATCAACCAACTAACTAATTGAATAAATAAGCTCAACTTTATTGCATACACAGACACAAAATTAATTCGTAAATCAATGGATAAGACAACTAGTCAGTTGTTTATTTATTTATTTACTTAAACTTTGTAACTAAGATCCACATATTTCAAGAAAAATATTCCAGAAACACCAATAATTAGTGAAACAGTTTACTAGATTGCATAAAATCGACTGCTCTCAAGTTTGTTTGGTAACAAACAGCCTGAGGGATGGTTTGATTACATCGGAGACAGTCTCTACTGTCAGATGAATATTGCATAAACTCCAACTCAGCTGATTAAACCCAACAAATAGGAAGCATCAAATGGGCAGACAGTTGAGGTGTCATCGGACTAGACAACAAGACAGTGTTGAAAGATTGTATGATTCAGTGACAACTTAATTGATAGTCGTTATTAAGGAAGAGTTTGACAGGTAATAAACTAGACATGCAAGCATGACACTGTTACCAAGACGTTTAACATATGCTGGCCAGTGTAGACTAGCATTTCGTTGTTTCTCTATCGATGATAAATATCAACTATTAATGTGTATATTATCCATAATTATTTATACAGTTTATCACCAACACCTTGATTCGTGTAGATATAAATAAGGTTTCGCATGTTTTACTAGATAGGTATTGTAGTAAACCATAACATGTTACAAGCAGCTGAGTACAAATGACATGAATAAGCATTTAGTGATTACGTCACCTTACACAAAGTGTCTGATTTGGCACACAGGTCTTAATGTTAAATTGTAATAGTAGTAATAAATTTCAATGTCAAAGCATGTATATAAAAAATGAAGACAAGATTTCTTCTGAATATTAGTGAGATGATGAGTAGTTTTGAGCGAATTCTTGGGTCATAAGACGACTCGAACAGTTGGCCTCCTGCAACAACCAAGCCTTCTGTTGACATTAATCACCACCCCCATAAGATTACATTACGGTAGAAATATTATTGATAAAAAAGAGTACTGCAGTCCAATCATTTCCCGCAATTAGTCTACTCCACTCGAAGTTAAATTCAACCCTCGAGGTCAATATAAACATATTAATCCATAAACATATGTCACAATTAATAATAATAACGATAGTAATAGTAGCAATGATAATAATACGACCTAGTAACTATGCATACAAACGGATATAGTGATCTACCAGTTACATTCTATCTAGAGGTGAATAATATACGACGTATTACTAAAATGCAACTCTGAGTATTATTAAACCCACCAAGAAATCAGCGGTAATTTAGTAAAGACTAAATTATATTTATGATAAGAATGTCAATATATTATTGAACGCTCAAACCATAGGCATTTTTTCCCATTTCTGAATGCTTAGACTGCAAGGCTGACAAAAGACAAATTTAATCGAAACTGGTCATTCAAAAAAATTAATAAATAAAATAGCTTACCTTTAATTGTGAAGAATAAGTGTTAAATTTCCAATTAAATTTATGACTAGATTTCATTGTTTTATTAATATCACCGAATGATCTACTCCGACGAGCTATACGATTACGACACGGTGTAAAAACATTCAATAATTTAGCTAATTTTTGTCCTGATGAATTTCTTCGTTGTGAGTGATGGTGTTTGTTTGAATCCGCTTCATCAACTGATAACTGGAAGGATTCAATCGATAAAGTAGAAGAATTTGTATCATGTGTACTTTTAGTTGACAATTTTTCAACACTTGTTGCTCTACTTATATATCCTGAGTCTGTATCATCAGATTTATCACTGTGACTGATCTTTATTTGATCTCGTTGTTTTTTGAATAATTTTGGTGATTGTACGGGCAAAGCCCCAATACGTGGACTCCGTATGAGATCGGAGCAAAGAGTCATAACAACTAAAACTGAATTGTCTGATTAGTGTTGCAATCTACATAGTCGGTATTTATTTACTTTTCTATACACAATCTAACCAATAAAATTTAAGTCCGTTTTAATACGCTAACTAAAATCAACCAATCAGAATTCTACTTTAGTAATGAATTTTTACGTAGTTATAGATGAATCACTGAGCAGACAAGTGATTCGGATTTGTAAATTTTATTAAAGAACGGCCATTTTGGTATTCAAAGTGAAACTGTGTACCGTCATTTTTGAGTTGATTTTTTAATATTTTATTCGCTTGTACTTAAAAGGTGGAATTAAAATGCTAACGAATATCGGATCTCAAGCTCCAAAATGTGTAGATCAAAACTGAATAAAGGATGCTTGAAGTTTCCTCGAGCTATTTACATTGAACAGATTGGATAGTATTGAAATCCTAAAGCTCATTTATTAGGACAATAGGCCTATTCTATATACACTCAGATACAAAAGAAAGTGTTGGTAATTGCTAAGAGTCTTCGATAGTGAATTATCATCACCACGAAAGACTCAACAGGCAATCAACGAAATTATCACTGATGTGATAAAATGATGAGGGTGATAGAGAGATGCCTAATCCCTAAACCAAGTATAAGTTAAAAAGATATTTTTAAAGAAAAATCAAAGATAACATGGGTAGGCAAAGGATAGATGGCTCTTAGACTTAAAGACATGCAGTTACTTGACGACTGAAAGTAACCTGATGAATGTAGATGTTTCTAGATACGCCCAGCCCATTCAAGAGTGACAAACAATTAGTATGCAAAGCATTCCATGAAGATAGTTTCTTTTGCTGAAAAAAGTCTCCATCAATAACATAATGAGGGAGAGGTTTATTCAAAATACTTTGGAAATTTTCTTGCTTTATACCACTTCTGTATGTGAAACAACTATTGAAATGAAAAGCTAACATGGAGCTTGCTAATTTCCATCTTACACTCATTTAATCTATCATCTCTTATGTGAAAGGGAACCTTACCGGAACCAGTGCAGCTTAATGTATTGTAAAAACGTAAAGTACTGTAAGAGAACATACTGTTTCCTTTCGACTTGTTTGATAAGACTGAGGGTTGTTCACCCTTTTCATCTTCTATAACAATAGACATCTGTTGTATGAGTAGCAGAGTGATTCACTAAGTTGTTAAGGGCATCCCCAAACCACTATTTTTTAAAAAGGATCTATTTAGAAGTTGAAATTTTTTCTCTAGATATACTTTTTACCTAACTTTCAAAGGAAATCATTTATGGGATAAATGAGAAATGGTGAAGTGTTTTACACTCAACAAAATGCACCACGATTCTGAATCACCTCGTTTGGTGACCGGCTACATTGCAAAATGATCCATAAAATTCGGTACTCTGATGACTAGTGTAAAAGAACACGAAGATTAAGTTAAACTGTCCTTCTTACCTATTACATCCATTCATCTACCAGCTGATTGTTTACCTGTCTATATTAAAACTATCTGCAGTATAAAGAGGCAGAAAGCAAGACAATGAAGACATGGAGGAAACAGATTACTGTTAAGAAATTGGCGTGACAGTAAGTATGCATGATTGATAAAGTTAAAATTAAACCAGAATTCTAAATTTAACTAATCCGAGAATTACTTATCATATGCTTCATGAGTTTCACTATATACATTGAATACTGATCATATTTTTATTGGTACTGGGTGGTGATTAAAGGGAAAATGAAAATTTTGACCGCAGAGCGATTCGAACCAACGACTACCGAGTATCAATACAAGTCTGCAAAACCACAGCTATCTCAGATAGTCAAAAATGATGATCAAATTTTATTTTACTTCAAGAAATGGATAATTTCCCTGCTTGTCAATATGAATTGAAAAAAAAAACAAGCATATTTACAACATTTTGCTTTCAGCATGACCGTCAGCGAGTATCACAAATGAACGTTTATCATCCCTAACTTGGTTGATTTAACAATTTACAGATTCCTATTGAATCGAAAGGAATTCTTCTCAATACTTGTCGGGCATTATTCACTTTATATGATTCAGTAGAAATCGATTGAGATGATGAACTTTATCTAAAGTGTCCTTAATTACTCGGTTTAAGTTTGAACGGGACATAAATGCTAACTGGGATACTGGTATGTCCGACCAGAAAGTAGCTTAAAGTTAGAATATTATGTCACAGGTAGTATTGAAACACTACAACAAAGAAATAATACCTCAGTACGGATTGATAAACCGTTTCTGGAATCATTATTATCCGAAACATTGTAAAATTTTAAAATCTGCACGTTTTGGAAATAAAAGTATTGACTTACTTAATTATGGCTAGCAGAGGAAGCCAGGACGTACGTTTCGTCCTATTTGGGACCCGTCAGCTGGATGTACCTGTACCACAGTGAATAATGTCGTTCCCACTGAGATTTGAGCCTCGTGTCCTTCACTTCAAACGCTAAAACGATATCCACTAGGGCACTAACTACAGACAACCATCACCAAGTACAGGGCTTGAACTATGTTCACCTTTAGTGTATTTATCGCCACCTCAGTGATGATGATCGTCATTAATGTGGCATGGTTTGTTTAACGCATGAGGAAAAACAAATGATTGCCGGGTAGTGTACTTTTAAAATTGAAATGACGTGCAATATCGAGGCATCCGAACAGGATCCCGAGTGCTAATACATACCGACCACTTTGGTCCATTCAACGATAGGATAATACAGCCAACAACATAAAACTATATCTGTCTCACAACGAGTTGCCTAGTAAATAACGCTTTGGTGTTTGAATCGGTGGGTACGAGGTTCGAGTCTCACTAGGAACAACATTGCTCTCTGGGGTGCAGATACATTTAGTTGAGGAATAAACTCCAAATAGGATGCAACGCGCGTCCTGGATTTCACTGTTAACCACAAAAAAGGCTATACTATAATAAATATCCAGAGATTATAGAGGCATTCACATAGGAATCCATCTGCTAATAGATGTCGAGCTATTTCATCCTGTATAACAACGGGGAATTACTCTTATCACATACTAGTTTAAGCACTTGAGTTTGTCCATACATTGTTAATCTAAAACCTATGTACTTTACCATCACTGCGCAATAAACGTGTCCACCCTATAAAAGGTCAAAAAGGCTGGTAATAACTTGGACATGAAACCGAAAATATGAATTCTTATCAAAATATTTTATAAAAACAGACACTTTCACATAATGAATTTTGTGGTTAATAGGGCTTTCATTTTTAAGACTGTATTCATTACGGACTTTCACATCGATTTCGTTGTAACACGAATGAAGCCAATGAGAGTATTCTGATTCAGGTGGTGGTGTAACAAAACCTCACTAGGGATAAAACCACATATTCGTGAACAATGCTCAGGCTACCAATAAACTGTAACAAAACTACTCATGATAAGCTATAATAATAAAAAATGTGTTTTATTTGCATTCAGTACTTCAGAATTTCAATGAAAAGTACAAATTCAATTGCAGTTATCTTCCTTATCGAAGTGTTTGAAGAGGAAATCATTAAATTACAGAAAAATGTGGAATGAACTTTACTTGGTCAGAAAGTATAATTTAAGGGATAGATAGTCTGTAAATCAGTTAAAACATAAAAATTCATCTGAAATCGATCACCGAATAGTTACCAACCTGGTTATCAAGTCCTAAGGATTGATTAAAACCTGTCGATAGAGTTTGCAATCCAGTTACTTAACTCATCGGTGCAACAATGTTGCGCTCTACGCTTCAAGGTTCAATATCAGAAGGAAATCCTAGAAGTGAATTTCAGAATTACTGACATTTGTGAGCAATGGGTATTTATAGCTTAGGTTTCTTGTGGTGTCATCAGAGTGATGCCGATGCCCACAGACAGCAATGGATGATGATCACGCTATATCACGAGTCGATAGAAATAGGAGAATATAGACCATCAGATCCCAACTCAGTGGCTGAATGTCCTGGGCTCAATTCCTGACGAGGTCATGGGTACACATTACTGAGAAGTCCTACATTAGGACAAAAGGGCTGTTCAGCGCTACCAGACGTTTCATTGTTTGCAATTAATGTCAGTCCAGCGTGAATACTACCTCAGTTTCAGTGCATGTATTTTCATAAGACAAAAAATAAATTATTGACCAATTATTTATAATTCTACACTATGGGAGATTGTAGATATTTGTAAGTGGTAAATAACTTAACCGTGATCATCTCTTGAGAATAGTTCAATGCTCAATGCGGATAGCATAAAAACCGTCGATTTCCAGGGTGACATTACTGATTAGAAAATGATAGTCAGTACTTTGATACTAAAGTTAGCTATACATTTAGCAGATGCCACCAACTAATTTAATCAAAGATTAAAGGTTAAGCAGTCACACAGATGGAATCTTACACCAAGATGACCAAATTCAATGAATCCAGACAAGAATATTGTTGTTTATTTCAACAAAAATGGAATGTAATCTTGTCTACCATTTTGTGCACCCAGTCAGTTATGTAGCATTTCTCTTTATACACGATACATTTAGGTGACACGATGACCCTTTCTGTTAACCGTTAAATAAACACAGACAGTATGAAAATAAAATAGAGTTAACTGTCGAAATAATATATTTAATCAGTTGACTGTAATAATAATGATAACAATAATATTGTGAATGTGAATACCTGTCGCGTACCTTGATTCTTTGAAAATTAAATAGTGTATAAAGGCATACGCTGTGTAAGTGAAGACATTTGTGTATACGTAGTATACAGATAAGCATAGACAATTACATGAAGAAACACCATGGGGAATGAAATTCTTCTATAAGACAATGGAAAATATTTAAACGGTAGAGAAAATCTGTTTTCAAAAGAGAAAGTGATGATACATTTTCAAGACTGTGGTGACATCATCATCAAAATTATTCTTCTTGTTGTTATGATTATGTCTGGAAGAAATTGAACTCTTCTCCAGTGTGAAAAAATCTGCATCATGATGAAAGGGAAGGATTTAGCCAAT